GTTTGCCTTTCTCTTGTCACTGTGATACTTTTCCATGATGCCCTGAAGAAGCCGCTCCAGCACTGGATGCCAGAAACCGTCCGAGGTCAGGAGCACCAAGTGAGGCTGTTCCTCAGGACGGTGGATGCCACACTGCAGCCCGACCAGGTAGAGCGACACCAACCTTTTCTGGACCTCCACGGGGAACTCCGTGACTTTCTTCCCTATTCTGACGTCCTCTAGTGACGCTGGCAGTGCTGCTGGGTCTGCGGCCTGTTCTAGAACACGGGACAGAGGCTCCGGTCGTCTGCCAAAGTGCTTCTGCAGCACCTTCTCAAGCTCCTCATCTGCAAGGTCCATGGGACTCTTCACCGACGGACTTGGAGATGCCAGGTAGGGATCCTCCTTGACCATGGCGAAGGTCGACGAGGCGGAAGCTGTAGGAGACGTCTTGACTGGAGACAGCAGGGCCTCGTAGGACTGCCTCCGCTTCTTAACTGGTGTCACTGCCAGTGCCTCCTCCCTCAAGGTTGCGGTCAAAGCCTCCTCAAGAGGAGTGGCAGGGTCCAGCTGCGTGGTGGGGTCCAGCTGTGTGGCTGCCACGGCCTCCACATCCATGGGCAGGTTCACCGAAGCTGCCCAATCCAGCGAGACTGGATTAGAGCTGTCCTCCATCGCTACTCTCCGGGACTCTCTGCGAGAAGCAACATGCCTCAAGTTAACGCTCGAGACGACCAAAACAAAACCTGCGGGAACAACACTGCCCTCCTGAGAGCATGCTTGCAGCTCAAACTCAGGTCCGAGCCATTATGGAAACTGATGGAAACTGGAAGCCCAAACCTGGGTGCTTCGGGAGTCGCGCCCGCGCGAATGTCGCTGCGGGCGTCTGCACTGAGGCCCGCACAAGGATTAGTTTCTAGTGAGCGTGAATGAAGGGAGTATGCAGAGCAAGAGATTGATGCAAGTTTCCCCTCCCCTTGAGCCGAAAGCAGACAGACAGATGCCGTCCTCAAGCGCTGTTGGCGTGTGTGTGTGCGCAGCAGAGAACTTTCGCTATGCTCGTAGACCTGAGGTGGCCTCCAGGGCACGCCGCCGCACGGACTCCAGCAGTTCTTCTGCCGCACGCCTTGCGGAAACCTTGGCTTCCGCCAGGGCCCCACCATCTCACCAGGACCTCCCGGAATCTTAGTTCCAAACCCCGCATTGGGGCCCAGTGACCGTCTTTGGCCGCACAGCACCACGTCCACGATCCGTGCCCTGGTCGTCCACCCTGCGCTGTGGATTTGGCTTGGGTTTCTGCCCTGTCCGACGGCGGTATTCATTGTAGCTGCTTGGGATTCATCTTCGGCTTTGGCACACACGATTGTATCCACTGTCATGGTCGCCAACCGAAACCTGCATTGGCCCCGTCTACACCAAAGAGCCTTCTTGTCGAGGTGGAAAAACTGCACCTGGCCAGACTCAAGCCAGTTGGCATGATGTCTGATGGGGCAAATCGCAATTCAGTCAATCCGCCAACAACTGTGCAAACACTCCTACTCCAGTACGTGGACTGATCAGCACTTCACTTCCTACTTGGGAGCTCTTGGATCCTGATGAGGAAGACGACAAGAAAACTCATGATGTCATCATTATGTTTAAGACAACAACGACAGAGGATGATGAGGATAACGATGATGATGATGATGATGAGGACGATGATGACGAGCATGATGGTGATGGTGATGGTGACGATGATGATAATGATGATGATGATGAGGATGAGGATGATCATGATGTTGATGGTGGTGACGATGATGATGATGATGACGATGACGATGACGATGACGATGATGATGAGAAGGAGGAAGAGGATGACGAGGATGACGATGACGATGACGAAGGGGACGATGACGATGAAGATGATGAGGATGAGGGTGAGGATGAGGATGAGGGTGAGGAGGATGACGACGAGGATGAGGATGAGGGTGAGGATGAATGAGGAGGAGGAGGATGTTGGTGACGATGAGGATTATGAAGATGAGGGTCAGGATGAGGAGGAGGAGGAGGAGGAGCGTGTTGATGATAATGATGGTGATCATGACGCTGATGCTGATGCTGATGCTCATGCTGATGCTGGCGAGGTGAAGGTGATAGTGATGGTGATGATGAGGAGGAGGATGATGATGATGTGCTGCTGGTGGTGCTGCTGGTGGTGGTGCTACTGCTGCTGCTACACGACGGGAATGAGGAAGACGATGATGATCCTCATCATCTTCTTGTTCTGCAGCCGCCATCACCAACGCCATGATCACCGCCGTAGTGTCGTCGCTGCAATTGTTTCCCAGGCTTGTCTGATTCCCGTTGCAAACACTGCACACAGAACAATGCATGTTTCCAAGAGGATTGCAAAATGCTGGCAGATGTTCAGCATGGACCGTACCGACAAAGTGAGCCATCAGAAAGCTCGATGTGAAAACGGACCAAGCCCTAGGTGCACAGCGATGCAGCGCAATTACTTGGGCCCTGGCGGAGCAGCAGCGTGCCGGGAGCCAACCTCTTAAAAACAATCCACCTACCGCTCCCATCACGGGATTTGGGGATGCCTCTGCTACTGTAGCATCAAAAAGCAAGCGCGCCAGAGAAAGGCGAAAAAGCGAGAGAGCCAGAGAGAGCGAGAGAGAGAAAGCAAGAGAGAGAGAGAGAG